CAAAGGACCTAGAAAAGTAAAAAGAAAAACAAAAACAGTGTTGGAAGACCTTTAGTACCTAATTTTAAGACTTCTTCTAACAGCTTGTAATAGTATTGAGATTGGCTGTACCAAGTTGGTTCCAGGTGTCAGGGGCTTTTAGCCAGAGCCTTCCAGCTCAGGGGCCTTAACAGGGCTCTCAAGGGAACAAAAGTGAGAAGTCTGGTGTCTAGGTTCACTGGGAAGTGTTTTATGACTGTCAAATTGAAGATAGAGACATCGAACGCTACCATGATCCAGCTCTCTGTTGTGAGCTGGGCCATGGCGTGAACAGGACCACTATAGAGCTGCCTTCACTGACTAGCAAGAGCAGCTGAACATCTATCTGGTAGGACTCCAGCAAGTCATCAGGCACTAGGGCAGGACCAGGGAGCTTAGAGGAACAAAATTCCACCTGAACTCCAGGGGTAAAAGAGAATATTTTTCTTTTCTTTTCTTTTCTTTTTAAGACAGGGTCTCACTATGTAGTTCAGCCTGGCCTTGAACTCACTGTGTAGCCCATGGTGGCCTTGAACTCAAGTGATCCTCCTGCTTCAGCCTCCCGGGTGCTAGGACTACAGGAGTGTGCCACCATGCATAGCAAGAGAGAATATTTTTGAAAGAAGAAGCCTTGCAGCTACTGCAGAGGTTGGCAGAGGCTAGTGGAGAAATTGGAATTTGAGTTGCTTTGGAAAGAAGTATAAAATGTGAGTGGCTAGAGAGAAAGTGAAAGGCATTGCAGCAGTGTCCAGGGTAAGAAAGGAGGCAAGCACACGGGACTAGGTGCTGAACGGTGGAGGTACAAATAAGACACCAGGTGGCTCAGCCCAGGCCTTTCTCTGAATGACCAAAACAGGAGGGTGATGCCTCCTTATGGGGAAATAAGATACTGTTTTTTGCGGAGTAAGGGATCCAAGGAAAGGAGATTCCCTAAGACTTTTTTAAAGGGCTGAATAATATAGCTCTAAGCAAGGAATACTTTAAGAATGTAATTCTCCATGCCATTGAGGCAACCCATGGCAGTCACAGGAAGGAGGACTGTGGGAGGCAGGCAGCTTCCAGGAAGCACAGGAACTGTAGCCTTGCTCTCTGCCAGCCCTCAGTCTGATTTCCAGCCTGCTCTCTTTGGACCTTGGAAACAGAAACATGCTTGCCTTCTCTTAACAAGTCACAGAAAGAGCCAGTTCAATTTCATGACCTCTAGGATTACTTCCAGAATCAAAATGCTATTGCTAGGGGCTGAGGCTGTAGCTCAATGGCAGCGTGCAAGCTTAGTGTTCATCATGCCCTGGGTTTAATCGCCAGCACCCTTCCCCCAGTTCTAATACTGCTCAGAAAAGGACTGGGCTATTTCTTTTATTTGGGGAAAGAGAAGGAGGAGGGGGAGGGAGGGTGCAAGAGAGTGGATTTTTGTACAGTTCAAACTTATTTGCATGCAGCATATTCTAAAAGCTCCGTAGTACTTTCATGAAGAAAGCAGTGTTTCTTCACAATGCTTTTGTTAACCACTGCTCTGATTCATAGTGAAAGACTCATGATGGCTAATTAAGAATGTGCCTGCCTGCATTAGCTCTGAGAAGCGGCTTTCTAAATGTCATGTCCTCCCCTCCCTACAAGCTCCCTTCAGAAGGTGATTCACAAAGCCCATTGATGCCTTTTAATTAGCAGTGACATCCACTTTATATCTGTCCTTAGTATTTTATGTGAGTATGCCTTGGGAAGGATTGAAAAGGGTGAGGAGCAACGTACTAAACAGCCAGTCTGCTTTCACTTCCGAGTCCCTCAGTCTTCCTTCTGCATGCGCCCTGACTTCAAGTCCTCTCAATGTTTTGGGTTTTGTTTTTATTTAATTAATTAATTATTTTTGGGGGTACTGGGGATCGAACTCAGGACCTTGTGCTTGCGAGGCAGGCGTGGCACTACTGAACTACATCCCCAGACTTGTTTTGTTTTTTAAAGAAAGCACAGCTTCATCGTCCTTTTGGCCACCTCCCTTTTCATCTGTAAGCCTAACTCTATTTGTTGTTTCTGAACTGTCTTTGTGGTCACAACAAAATAGATGCCCTTTATCCTCCCTGAGACTAACAGCTCCAGATTCATCATCCCTTTCCTCTCCTGCCTCCTCCAGGACTTTGCATCATTCATTGAACCAATATACTGACTAATTTGTTCATTTAAAAGAATAATTATTTAGAGCTGGGAGTGTAACTCACTGGTAGAGTGCTTGTCCAGCAATCAAGAGGGCCTAGGTTCAGTCCCCCTACTGGGAAAAAAATTGAGAGAGAACTGTACAGGAGAGACTGTTCTCAGCTCTGGGAACCAGCAGTAGACAAGATTTCTGCTCTCACTCATGGTACTTTCACTGGGAAAGGACCACATGATAAATAATTACCATACCAGAAGTTCGTAAGTGCTATGGAGAAAAATAGAGTGTGTGGGGTTGGGGGCAGAGTTATGGGCAGGAATGTTGCTTTTCATAGAAGTGGCCATGAAGGAACTCTTTAGTAGGCTAGTATCTGAGCAGAGCCCTGAAGGAGACAAGGGAGCTGGCTGGGGCATCTTGGAGGAAGAGGTGCCAGAGAGGCTGGACTGGGGGAAGAAATGATCAGTTGAGTAGGGCTCTGGCTTCTCCTCTGGGATGGGGGCTACTGAGAAAGGTGTGATTTCTGTTTTAAGCTAAACTCTGCTATCTCAAAT